AACAATTTCGAGGAAAATAATATTATTGTGATTAAAGTGTAGATATTTATATATAAACTGTACTGATTTGTCGGTAGTTTTGTTTCGAAGAAGTTTACGCGCGGAAATAATGTGCAACTATTATGCTCTTCATTAAAGCAGTACGATGAACCGGGATATCACGCAAACTAGTTCGATTCCGTTGAATACGAGAACAGGGTATGGCAGGATACGTACTAACGTGATATCTCGGCTCCCCTGAGAGAAGCGCGTTATGGGAATAGAGATCAATTAGAGCGATGTCACGGGCCGAGTAGCAGTGGATGGATGCACGGAAGTACTACCGGGGAGTGCGAGAGGGTTTGGGAAGTACTTCGAGTACCATTCCCAGATCGGGCGTACCTACCCATCCTAACGGAGCTAATTGCTAAGAGACCCGGGCCCGACACACTTCGAAGAGAGGCACCTGAATAGACCGGAATCTTGCCCGATTCCCCCGTCCTCTCTTCGTTTCCGCCTTTACTCTTTCGCCGGACTTTCAGGCCATATACCGATATACCGACAGAGAGAGACACTTTAGCCGCGCGCGAAACCGGAAGGAACTGAAAACGTGATCGAATCTGATAACTACTTTCTTCTTCGAACGCTCGTGCTTCTTTGACACGTGAATATTCATTATTCAGTTTCAGTGACACGTATATAAAAACAGCAAGCTGGAGTTTTATATTTATACAGAGAGAAGAATCCGTCGCTCTGCATTCATTGCTTTGACACATGCAGACATTGGAGATTAGATTTGATATCAGTGTCAACATATACCATTCCTTTTCAATTCTGACTTTCTGCAATATAGTCACTTGTGATTCATATTCACTGGAACGCGTAAAGTCTCACTGTTTTTCCATATGCAAGCATCTCAAGGAAAATGGGCAACAATGTTTATTCACGAAATAAAGTAGAAAGGTTTTCTGGTTTAATACGAACAGCGATGTAAATGTTAGGGGAGAACACAGAGAGAGGGCGAAATTTCACGTTGAAATCATCCTGCTGGTAGAGCGGATAAAAGATAGAGAAGCGTTTACCTGTCCAGTTTGTTGAGCATTATTAGGATCTCCACTCTCCTTGCCCCAACTGCACTTCACCGTTTGGCCGTTGATGTCTGTGTTGTGTACCGCTACGATGGCGTGCGTGGCCGACTCCTTGGTAGAAAACCTGAAATCGAAAAAGAAGGGGATTCAAGTCTTTTGTTAGTACGTGTCCTTCGACGTCAATGTTGAAGTTGGTGCAGTGCAATAGTGTGCACAAAAAGAAAACTCGCCGGAGCAATACAGGTACGAGGTTCAATTGGACCTTATTATAGTGGCTTAATGAAATGGTCTTTGTGACTAGTGCAGTTTAATTTATGCGAGTTTACTGTATGCACGAATGAGCACGATAATTGTGAATCTCGACAAATCTAAATTACTCCAGATAGACATTCAATATTAAATTCTACACACTAATTATGCGAGTTCAGTTTGTAGTTTACAATAATGTTAATTTTGGATGAACAATTACATTTAACACATAATACAGAAAGTTTATGCTTCAGCATCATGTTTTTCTAATAATATTTTAAAAAATTAGAAATGTGTGAAGAAAGAACGAAATATTTCAACTATGTCGAATTTGTCTGACAGTACTTATTGTATCGTATTTTTCGCTTCAACATCTGTGGTTTTCGTATAAAGTACAAAAATATTAATTTTACACAGTACTCTCTTTAATCATATAATGTATACATGGGATCTTCTCGATTATTTGATCACTCTGCACTGGAGGATTAAAGCTTCCGAGAATCTGATTAAAACACGAGGAATTTGGTGGCAAAATAGCAGAGGGAATTATTAAATTTATCGAAGATTAGGTCACTTTTAAACGTTCGCGTTCGAGATTGCACAATAGCAACTTTGTCCGTGAGCTCGTTCTTCCTTTTCCATCCATCGAGCTTCCATCCACGATCGTTGAGTAGGACGAACGATGGTCATCGTCAGCAACCCCCCCCCCCACCGTACCTCGAGTGATAACCAGCGGCAGATAAGATTCTTTCTTTCACCCGAGAAGAAAAGACCTCCTTCCCTTATCCATCCACCCGTCTCGCTTTCTCGCTGTACCTCGCAGTAAGTCCATACGTCATCCCGAGATATTCGTTTCCGGGTTCTACGCTATGGAAGAACGGAGAGAGGAAGAGCAATTAGACGGAAGATATTTGAACGACGGACATTGTCCAGGGGTGGCAGAACTGTGGCAGACATACGAAACGATAGAGGCCATCGTATTGGGTAAGGATGGACAAGGATATCGAGCGGATACGAGGGAGGATAAAGGACAGAGAGAAGAAGATATGTAAGGGTTTTTTGTGTCTTTCTCTTCCGTTTCCTGCTTCCCTCTAGCCTTCTGCCTCTCTCTCTCTCTCTCTCTCTCTCTCTCTCTCTCTCTCTCTCTCTCTTATCGCTCGTTCTAGAGCATCCCTCCCATTCTCTCGACAATCTTTTCTGGGGTAGGTCACGGTTCTTTCATCGTCGTTAAGGTAGAGCACTGAATTCGCTTTCGGCAGATATAAATGTTCAGCTGATTTCACGAACTATTATGTTATTTTGGTCTATACGATTAGAAAATATTTATACGGAAATCATTTTTCTATACAGTAAAATTCTTAATTGTGTGACGATTAATTTCTATTTCTATACGGTGAAATTATTCAGGTTACAAAATATGACTATCGATAAAAAAATTTAATAATTTTTTATGCATGTTTTTGAAACGTAAATAAAATTGATTTCGCCGATTGGGGAAGTTGAACTGAAATATATGATCTGTGCGAATGTAATGGGTAGATTAATGAAATGGCCACGATTCGAGCTTGATGAGTCCGACATGCTGCCATTGATCCGACATGTTCTCGCGTTTCGTGCCATAAATCACAAGAGACGGGCTATTGATGCATTCATGCGATTTCCTAATATTTTGTAAAATCTCATTTGATGACTAGTATTACGCTGATACCAATCATTGCTCATGATTTCGAGTACATAAAATTTTCTCAAGTTTCGCTACAGGTAGTCATTGTGTTACAACGCTCCAAATCCAATCACTTTATGCAAATGTATCCTCTGAACACATACGATGATTCTACCTGATTAGCCTTAGGCCAGATTGTTCGATTTTGTAATAAATTTATCCGGAGAATCAGTGCAAGTACTGCAAGCATATCATCAGCCATGCATAATACATATATGTATGGTAATCTAGCGTAATGGCACTAATGGCTTCAGGGTGATTGGTTAAACAATAGATTTCAACAAGGACAACATCATTTTTTTTTTAACAATTAATGTTACAGAAATTATATATAATATCTTTCAAGATGAATATTTATATATACATTCATTTGTCATTTTATCATTTTATTTTATACAGAATGTTTTAAAAATATCATACATTTTTAGTTTTGAAAACACTGATCGTAAACTGTTTAAAATAAAATAATTACACATTTTTGTGTTCCATTAAAAAAATTTGTATTACATTCTTATTATGCAAGTGAATTAAATATTTTAAGCACCGAAAATAAATAAAAAAAGTTATATATTATTATAATACGAATTTTTAATATACCATCAAGAAATATGTTAATTAAAGTTTGACTTAATTTAAAATAACGTATGACAATATATGAAATTTTTGTCCTAGATTTTACTTTTTTATAATGTAGTAAAAAGCTTCGGTAATTAACGAACTTTGATTATATAATCAGTGAAATGGTTTCAAGGGTTTCATACTAAAGTTCCGTTTAATTCCGTTTAATTCTTCACGAGAATTGGCCTTAAGTGTTCTTTGTGGAGTCTGGTGATCGATAAATCATTTTGTAATTTAAGCGGTGATAGAGTAAAACGACTTTTAATTACGACAATTCATTAAGATATAGAAAAATAATTTGTGAATTTTACATTCATTTATTAAAAGAAAAAACTTGTAGTAAGTGAGTAAAATTTGCATATATTTCTTATATAACAAAAATAGATGAATATTTGAAGTTGTTTTAAACATATTTTTGTAAACTGTCTGAAGTAATGTAGACTACCAAGTGAATTAGTAAAAAGTCTGTGCATGTTTTTATTTTAGATTAGAACTCTGTCTAAAAGAAGATTGATTTTGAATTAAAAAGAACAATGCTAATCAATTTTAACTGGACTATTTTCGTAAATACACGTAAAATAATATTAAACTGCGCAAAAGATTAATGAATAATCAATGCAAACAGTGAATTACGAATCCGCAAATGTCATGCTAACTTTACAATACAAAAAGAATAACTAGAACGGATTTATTATTTTCCATGACACCATTACGAAAGCTATAACGAAGCAAAATAATTAAGTAGCATGTATTTTGCACGTGATAACATAATTTCATGTTCGATCGATTTTATTATAAGATTTTGTATTGGTTATTTAATTGTCACAAAATTACAATTAATAATTGTATGTGTTCATACACAAACACACTGTTTTTATATAAAAATATAAGTTTATATTTAAGTCATATAAATTTGATGTTTTTAATGAGTGTAACTTTTCATTTAGCAAATATTATCAAACATTATTTTCTTTTAAAAGCCTACACATTATTTCGATTTTAAATACTAGATATGTTCATACTAATGATGTCAAATAACAAAAATAACGGTCATTTCATTACACACATTCGTGATTATTTTATCGTCATATTTTGTCATTATGATGTAATATATTATACATATATTATACAATATTTCAGTTTTGAGTTGTAATGCTTCATTTTATGTATATTTTAGTCAAAACTTAAAAATAAGTTTTTCCTTTGTGTGTGTGATTATTGTTTTCTGTTTGTTCATATTTATCGTTTTATTGGGTGTTCTTTATAAATGTCTTAAATGTAATAATTTGCATCTATTTGAGCAAACAAAGTTTGTTCTAACGGAATTTTGTGTACAATCGAGATTAACAGAGTATAAGCAAACATCATCGTAATAATATCGATTTAAAATCACTTATGTTTTTCATTTTCGATATCAGTCAACTATAATAATTACTTAAAACAAATAAATATTCCTGATGATAAAAATATCATTTTTATGTCGTATTTAATGATTATCAATTATCATTTTTCTTAATCAAATAATTATAATTAAATAAGTATTTCCAACAGCAACTATATTCAAAATGGAGACATTGAAACATCATTAAGATGTTTTTCAGACATCATTTAAGATGATTTTAAGATATTTTCTCTCTCAGTCTGAATAAAAAATTAATATATTAACTCTTTCTAGGAGTACTCTCTTTAAGAAAGTAACAAAAGATATGAGCTATCATTTTGCATATGTAAGAATCAAACGATGTGAAAACTATTTTGTATTTATTTATGAAAAATATTTTAACTGTATGTTTCATATCCTTTTGATAATATTTACTAAATTATTCTGTCATAAGTACTATATCTTTATTAATTTTTAAGTAGTTAGGCGGTCACAGCATCCCACGCATAATTATCTTAAGGATCTTGTTTTGCGAAAGTAAAATAAAAAGTGTATTGCCCAGACGTCTTAAAATTCATTATTTTTACATTTTTCTATCTTCTATTTCATAAGAGTATAACTAATCGATTCAGCTTTATACATACTATTAAAAATATAATTATAAAAAGTGACATTTTTTAGGATGTCTTGAACATTCCATCTACTTAAAAATTTCCGTAAGTATTTATAGATCATCATAAAATATCTGGTACAATCATAGAAGTTAAACAGTGCTAGATACATCGATCAATACATATATGGCATTGAAATTTGAGATGGGTGACCCGGTGAATTTTTCTCAAGTACCTTTGTGGTCGGACATATCATATATATCATTATTTTATCGTATAATATCACTTATTTGTAACATTAGATTGTCATTTTCATATTTTTAAAACGTCAACTAGTGATTTTAACAGTGATCAATGAATAACCAAAATCTATCCGTCCAAATGACGTACGCACATGATGTTATCTGGAGTAATTTCCTAAATAATATTATTTATATATGATTTATTATAGTAAGTACCAACGGCGAGCTTGAAAATATTTATATAACATATGCAAACATATTTTAATGAAAATGTTATAAAATACATATTTACCTGATAAAAGCATAGCCTTTGTCCTTAAATACTCGAATTTCTTGGATGGTTCCGAAGGGTGAGAAAGTTTTCTGCATGAGTTCTTCTGTTAAACCATTGGTCAAACCGCCGCAGTATACCGTGCAGTTGGTCGGACTACTTTGATTGTAAACTTCATCGAACGTCAACGGTTTTGCATTCGCTGTGAAACAAAAAAGGATAACAAAGTTTAAATTTTATTTAATTGTATAACCTGTTGAGAGGTCTAAGAAAATTGGTTGAAGCGTTAATAATCGCATCTACGGCGAACTCCTGAATATTAATTGTTACGTGTCTTTCTTGATTTAGAACATAAACTCGTAGCGACATAGAGTATTAAATATATTTATACGAATTTCTTACGCATTGCTATTGCTATGTAATATAAAAGGTATGTAACATAAAAAAAATTGTTTAAAAACAGTTTACTACGAAAGCTCAATTATGGCTTGAGCTAACGAGTTTTATACTGCAAATTTTTAAATTATATTTGCTACAAGTTGTTGATGTTGATTCTGTTTACACCAGGAGATTAATTACTCTTAGCAAATATAAAATTCAAAAAGAAGTTTAATAAGTTTAATTTAGATACACATATACAACGTCCACTATATTACAAGCTGTTTTAATCGAGATGAACGTAACAATTTTCCTCAAGTACGTTTAATTCAAGACTCTATCAATTACACATTACATTAAAATTCTAAAAATGGGATGGTGTCTTCAGGGATATTATTACGCGTCAAATATTAGTCACAGAGTGTTGTAAAATTACAATAAAGTATTATTCCACGATCACACAGGGAAATGTCTCGGGAAATATTAGCTGCCGTATCTCATTTATTTTGTTATCAATCACACAGTCATCCTGCTGAACGCATAACTCTTGCTCGTTCGCAGTCATGACTGGTGTACAAAGAATAAGCAGTGTTGAAGTGTTACGCACAAGTTTATCAAAAAACGATCAGCGCACGATGTAATGATTATTCCGTTTGCGACATCCAACGACAATCGGATACGATCCGGATAGCAATATAAGAAACAACACGCACGTGGGGCCTTGGGAAAGCCATTATTGAAAGTATCTAACTTCCCCCAACGCGATAGATCTCTCATGTATCCTTTACCTCTTCTCTCACCCCCCTTCTACCCCCCCCCCCGCGGTATTACTTTTACTGATACTACGAAAGAGGTCAACCGGGTTTCGCGGTGTGGTCGGAGCAGGACGCGAGAGCAGCTCGAGATATCGAACGGCAATGCCAAAGAGGTTGAATCCCGTCAGCTAAGTTTACGATCGTACGGGGGCTTAGTCTATACGGCAGAAACAAATATTATCAAACATTATTTTCTTTTAAAAGCCTACACATTATTTCGATTTTAAATACTAGATATGTTCATACTAATGATGTCAAATAACAAAAATAACGGTCATTTCATTACACACATTCGTGATTATTTTATCGTCATATTTTGTCATTATGATGTAATATATTATACATATATTATACAATATTTCAGTTTTGAGTTGTAATGCTTCATTTTATGTATATTTTAGTCAAAACTTAAAAATAAGTTTTTCCTTTGTGTGTGTGATTATTGTTTTCTGTTTGTTCATATTTATCGTTTTATTGGGTGTTCTTTATAAATGTCTTAAATGTAATAATTTGCATCTATTTGAGCAAACAAAGTTTGTTCTAACGGAATTTTGTGTACAATCGAGATTAACAGAGTATAAGCAAACATCATCGTAATAATATCGATTTAAAATCACTTATGTTTTTCATTTTCGATATCAGTCAACTATAATAATTACTTAAAACAAATAAATATTCCTGATGATAAAAATATCATTTTTATGTCGTATTTAATGATTATCAATTATCATTTTTCTTAATCAAATAATTATAATTAAATAAGTATTTCCAACAGCAACTATATTCAAAATGGAGACATTGAAACATCATTAAGATGTTTTTCAGACATCATTTAAGATGATTTTAAGATATTTTCTCTCTCAGTCTGAATAAAAAATTAATATATTAACTCTTTCTAGGAGTACTCTCTTTAAGAAAGTAACAAAAGATATGAGCTATCATTTTGCATATGTAAGAATCAAACGATGTGAAAACTATTTTGTATTTATTTATGAAAAATATTTTAACTGTATGTTTCATATCCTTTTGATAATATTTACTAAATTATTCTGTCATAAGTACTATATCTTTATTAATTTTTAAGTAGTTAGGCGGTCACAGCATCCCACGCATAATTATCTTAAGGATCTTGTTTTGCGAAAGTAAAATAAAAAGTGTATTGCCCAGACGTCTTAAAATTCATTATTTTTACATTTTTCTATCTTCTATTTCATAAGAGTATAACTAATCGATTCAGCTTTATACATACTATTAAAAATATAATTATAAAAAGTGACATTTTTTAGGATGTCTTGAACATTCCATCTACTTAAAAATTTCCGTAAGTATTTATAGATCATCATAAAATATCTGGTACAATCATAGAAGTTAAACAGTGCTAGATACATCGATCAATACATATATGGCATTGAAATTTGAGATGGGTGACCCGGTGAATTTTTCTCAAGTACCTTTGTGGTCGGACATATCATATATATCATTATTTTATCGTATAATATCACTTATTTGTAACATTAGATTGTCATTTTCATATTTTTAAAACGTCAACTAGTGATTTTAACAGTGATCAATGAATAACCAAAATCTATCCGTCCAAATGACGTACGCACATGATGTTATCTGGAGTAATTTCCTAAATAATATTATTTATATATGATTTATTATAGTAAGTACCAACGGCGAGCTTGAAAATATTTATATAACATATGCAAACATATTTTAATGAAAATGTTATAAAATACATATTTACCTGATAAAAGCATAGCCTTTGTCCTTAAATACTCGAATTTCTTGGATGGTTCCGAAGGGTGAGAAAGTTTTCTGCATGAGTTCTTCTGTTAAACCATTGGTCAAACCGCCGCAGTATACCGTGCAGTTGGTCGGACTACTTTGATTGTAAACTTCATCGAACGTCAACGGTTTTGCATTCGCTGTGAAACAAAAAAGGATAACAAAGTTTAAATTTTATTTAATTGTATAACCTGTTGAGAGGTCTAAGAAAATTGGTTGAAGCGTTAATAATCGCATCTACGGCGAACTCCTGAATATTAATTGTTACGTGTCTTTCTTGATTTAGAACATAAACTCGTAGCGACATAGAGTATTAAATATATTTATACGAATTTCTTACGCATTGCTATTGCTATGTAATATAAAAGGTATGTAACATAAAAAAAATTGTTTAAAAACAGTTTACTACGAAAGCTCAATTATGGCTTGAGCTAACGAGTTTTATACTGCAAATTTTTAAATTATATTTGCTACAAGTTGTTGATGTTGATTCTGTTTACACCAGGAGATTAATTACTCTTAGCAAATATAAAATTCAAAAAGAAGTTTAATAAGTTTAATTTAGATACACATATACAACGTCCACTATATTACAAGCTGTTTTAATCGAGATGAACGTAACAATTTTCCTCAAGTACGTTTAATTCAAGACTCTATCAATTACACATTACATTAAAATTCTAAAAATGGGATGGTGTCTTCAGGGATATTATTACGCGTCAAATATTAGTCACAGAGTGTTGTAAAATTACAATAAAGTATTATTCCACGATCACACAGGGAAATGTCTCGGGAAATATTAGCTGCCGTATCTCATTTATTTTGTTATCAATCACACAGTCATCCTGCTGAACGCATAACTCTTGCTCGTTCGCAGTCATGACTGGTGTACAAAGAATAAGCAGTGTTGAAGTGTTACGCACAAGTTTATCAAAAAACGATCAGCGCACGATGTAATGATTATTCCGTTTGCGACATCCAACGACAATCGGATACGATCCGGATAGCAATATAAGAAACAACACGCACGTGGGGCCTTGGGAAAGCCATTATTGAAAGTATCTAACTTCCCCCAACGCGATAGATCTCTCATGTATCCTTTACCTCTTCTCTCACCCCCCTTCTACCCCCCCCCCCGCGGTATTACTTTTACTGATACTACGAAAGAGGTCAACCGGGTTTCGCGGGGTGGTCGGAGCAGGACGCGAGAGCAGCTCGAGATATCGAACGGCAATGCCAAAGAGGTTGAATCCCGTCAGCTAAGTTTACGATCGTACGGGGGCTTAGTCTATACGGCAGAAGCAGGCTACGGGTGTAAACGCGACCGGTAAACCACGGCCTGTAATTGCCTCGTTCGGGGATGGAAGGTTCTCAGAACGGCGGAACGTCCCGTTAAGAACTTACCGAGGGACGTTCTCTTCTTTTCTCAAAGCTCGGCATTATCTCTTTATTGCCTGGTGAACGTTATTCTCAGTATTCCCGGAATGTCGGCGCAGCTTGCCCGCCTCCGTCGCCGCCACCGCCTATGGTCGGCTTTAAAAAATTTTGTTTGTTCTAGAATGCTTATTTCGCAAAAAGAGAGATTGAAATATCTGCACTTCTGGCGCTTGCGAAGCCGTGAACTTTTTACGGTTCTACCTTCTTTGATCGCCGGCCGTTTCGCAAGTTAATAGCTGAGAATTATTATTACGACAAAATGTAACGAATCGATGCGTTATCGCGACACGGTAGTTAATTAGTGCGATATCATACTTTACGAGTCATGTGATTGCAGAATCTGCCCATGACGAAAAAGATATTTTCAAAGTAAATCGAAAATTTCCCCAAGCATTTCTGATATATAGAATTGTCAAATGTAATAAACGCTCTTTATTTTCTTTTATCAAAAAGAAACCAGATTACTAAATTCGTAAAAGAGAGAATCTATCTTGTAATTTATGTTGTTTTATAATTATAGAACAGCACGCAAAATATAAACAATAAATGTATGAATATTATATTATTGTTCTTAAACGTTTATACTGTAAACATAGATTTGCATAGTTTCATTATTAGTATTCGTAATTGTTGAATTAAGAATTATTATACACATTATATACATCATATTGTGAGTGTGTAGGTGTATATAATATAAATCTTTAAATTAGCAAGCAATTTTATGTCAAGATGCAGATAAATCATATCATTATACAAAAAAGATATGTCTATCTGTACGTCTAACTGCTGTTTATGATTCTACTCAAAACATGCAAAGTTTTTCATAATATTACGATTAAATAAGCTTTTCAATTACAAAAAATTTGATTTCTTAAAAAATATTAATTATCACGATTATTACCAGATTTCTGAAAATATAATTTTGATTCTGTAAAAATAAGCAGATTGCGTGAATAGATAATTCCGACAAAAGTTCCAAACAAAAGCTATTTTTGAACATATAAATATATAATAATTGTTTCATAAATAATTTATTCTGGCACAAAATGATTATAACGCATATATGTATGCGACAGGGTATTTTAAAATGATGCTGGCTCTATACCTCATATCCTCTTTTTAGAATTGTAATAAATTGCCTTCAGCAGAATATTAATTTTATATTGGATTTTAAGCGACACGAGAAGCTGTCGCTGCTTTTCTGTCAATACTTGTCCGCGCTGTGGACGTAGTTTTCGAGATTTAAGAGAGAGCGAGAGGAGGAATCGAGATTCAAGATATCGGGGATCGATTGGAAGAATTGCTCCCAACGTTTTTGAAGCGGTTATATCGAGAATATCTGGTTGAAAAATTGAAGAGCTATTGTAGATCTATGGCGATGGTTTTCGTACGGAGCGGATTCCATGAAAGAGAAAAAAAAAGTTTTCAAAGAAAGCTTGCGGAGATGAAGTTGATTCGGACATGGAATGATACTGGATGAAAGAACATCTATACGATCGTATTTTTATCGAAATTTATCACGTTGAGTTTTTGATTGATTCTGATATGATACATAATGTACAGTAATATATTCAAATGAGAATCAGGATGAACAGTATTATCTATATAATGCATAAAATCGTTATATGTCGATTTATATTTACATCATTAGATATATATGAGTAGCTGCGTCGGTTCGATGTAAGCTCCAACCAAAGTCAGTTAATCACAAGCGTATTATAGGAAATAATATAATTTTTTTAAAATAAATTTCTCATATATTCGTATTATATGTATTAATGATAACGTTTATATTATTAAAATTTGAAAAAAAATGTAAGTAATTAAAACAAGACGAGATACTTCTATTTAACTTAAAACTTTTTGACAAAAGGACAATAATTTTCGTAGGAAATTTGATCTTTTATCCTTATTTTTTAAGTAATAAAATTGATAAATTTTAAAATTCTAATACAGAAATGCCACAGGAATAAAAAAAAATAATTCTTAGGTATAATTGAACTTGCTCTTTCGAACGCTGGCTTTATTTCCCCTCTGCGAATTCTTAGTACTTTAATCGAAATATTTCTCTCTCTCTCTCTCTCTCTCGCTCGCTCCAAGATTGGGCTACCTATACCGATTCAAACTGATTTGATTCCACTGAGTATGCGATATTCCAATTTAACCCCTCAGGCATGACTTTCTCGACGTTTCCATTTTAAGTGGTCGACTCATGCGTCGTATGCGCTAAGGTCTTAATACGTACCCAACCCTAACGTGATTGCACGACTGGCACGATCCTGAAAACGCTATTTACCAACGTATTATAGTCACAGTCACACACCGTCGATATGTTTAAAGTTCGACGTTTTCGAGAGCTGCGCTTGCAGAAATTACGTGTCAGTTTACGCGGCAATAAAAGTAAGTAACTACTTTCGAGTATTGAGCACGCGAGCGTAATAGCAACGATATTACAGGGACTAAAAATTTTCTCTGCAGGAATATCCTATAAATTTTCATCGACTAATAATCCATATTATACAATAATGCGGATCAAACAAGAATTCGGGTGCCGACAAGAAAATATCCAAATTTGGCTGGTTCTGTCAGATCACTTTCCCTCTTTGTACATGATCCGTGATTTATGATCCTTCGGACGTGCCTGGTCGAAGATACGCCATTACGGCAAACAGCCTGTAGTTCCAGATTCGGCTCATTAGGCAGCTGATTACGTGGACGTGCCTAAATCGAAGTTCTATACGTCAGGTCAATGGCGGCTCCGGCGTATTCCCGTGAAACTTTATTCTTATCTAGCGGGAACCACTTGGCGATCGAATAACTAGATTTATCGCGCGAATCTAGTAACTTTTTACTTCACTGAATTTCCGATAACTCGCCGCTCCCGAGAGCCGGGAGATGAAAGATCAACAAGAAATTCGGGGGTAAACTCGAAATTTTCTACCGACCGCGTCGGAGTCCGGACGCGCTAGTTCTGACCTTAAGTAAAAAAAAAAAAGAAAAGGCTGCAGAACACTGAAGTGTGAAGAGAAAAAAAAAGAAAGGACGATGGCTTTAGACCTCCGCAATATCTCCTTGCTCGTTCCTTCTCCCGAAAGGGAAGTTTCCACTTTTCTCCGTTTTATGGCGGATGGAATCTCCAGTGGTCGACGATAGAACTCGAATGTACGTATCTCGTGCCCTCTTAAATAACGCGGGTACTTGAAGTTTCGTTGGCACTGGTCACCCTAGCAGCGCGCCAATATTCGTCCCGACTAAATTCATGGTAGCGGGTACTAAGTGGACACTGGCTGTCCCCGTGGCCATTCTCCTTTTTCTTATTCTCGGACATCCGTGGATATCTGAATAATCAATGCTCGAACTGACGCTGCATTTGTAACTTTCTAGTGGTTTATGTAAATCAGGACGAACTGAGAGCAGAATGGGGCAGTTCCTTGGTTCCCGACGCACGAATACTTTATCCGTTTCCTATTTCGATTATTGTTGCATTATCCATATAACTTCATAAAAAGTCAATTTGTATTTAAGCCATTATATTGTTCGTGTTAAATTTGTGCCCGGATATATACGTCTGGTGATATTAGATTCTTGAAAAAAAAAAAAAAAAAAAAGATGTAGGCAAAAATTGTCAGAGTAAAGTTTTATAACATACTATTGTATATGTAAAAATTTCACAATTAATTCCTTACGTATTTATTGCAATTTA